ATTAACCAATCATTTTTACTCACGTTTTACTAATAAAGTGATTGAGTATCTGCGGAATGAATGCATCATTATGAGAATGGTGTTTTGGATTCATGCCTAGCTAGAGAGGATGATGACAACGGGCCTTTGAGCATTTGGAGAGGACCCATGCATTTTAGTGGAGGGTTATGAGCTTGGCCGGTTGTCCCATCATGGTAAAAAAGAGAGAATAAATACTATGAAATAAATCTTTGATCATAAAAACCCTCCTGTATATTAAATTAGCAAAATGTTCACTTTATTTCCATATGTCCTTTTCCTTTACCCAAATCTTACAGCAATTCTCAAGTATCATGTCCTCTTCTCCTTCCTCCTCTTCCCCTCTTCCCACAAGATAATACATCTGCATAAATACATTGAACTAGAGGGTCCTTAGAAATTTTGAGGGATTGATATGGGTCTTCCTCAAACTCAATCACCAGCTCCTACTCACTTGTACCCTCAAGATATTCAACTTAAACTCTACCAAGCATTCATATTCTCCATTCCCATCCTCTTTTCCATCATTCTCTTTCTGTTGTTTTATTTGTTCTATCTAAAGAGAAGAGCTTCTACTCTTTCCCAGCCTCCACCAATACTCCCAACAAGTTTTAATAGGACAAATGCCCTTTTGCTCTCAGTAAGACCTCTATCTTACTTACTCTCACATGTATGGAGAAAGAAATTTAGAATTTCTCATATTGAATGATAGATTGTTAAGGCATGCTTTAATTGCATCTAAGATCACTATATTTTTCTTGGCATGGTGATGTTGTAGAATTGTCAGCTGGGTTTGAAGAGTGAGCTTATAGACAGGCTGCCCACAGTGTTGTTTGATGAAGAATTAAGGGCAAGGGATGCACAGTAAGTCATTATACTTCTTAATTTCTCATTTGATATATATATTTATTAATTACTTCAAACACCTTAATATGTTACATGGATCAAGTGGAATGTGATAATTTTAACTTACATTTAAGGTTTTTCTTTTATTTGAAATGCCCTGATAAGTGTTGGGACACAATGTCAGTTGGATAAAGTGGAGAGTTCAAATCACACAACTCTATGATTAAAAGTTATATCAATGAATGTGGTGGCATAGAAATCAAATTGCCCCACAACATGTGTGCTTCTGGTCTTACACTACGTGATATCACAATCATCCAGTTGTTGAATTAAGGCTGATTCTATGGGAAATTGACCATTTCTTAGAAGTCATCATCTTGTGTGCCCTAAAAGCCAACTGTCCTTGGTGTCTAGGCACAAGACAAGTATACGACTCCTATTTCCTTTTCACTTTCTTCTCAACTGTTTTCCTCTGTCCCTTTTTCTCTTGTTACTATTTTCTTCAAACTTCATATAGTGCTTTTTAGCTGGATCGAGATGAAGCTGAGAAAGTTAAATATTAAAGACAGATGTTATCTTTGGAGGAGGAAAATTAAAAGGGAAAAGTTTTAAGTAGAACTTAATTAAGGACACAAATTATAGTCCTCATGGATAGATTTCCTTTTAGCCACTACCACTAAATGCTTTTGTTTTTATATGTCCCCATGTATGCATCATTTTTAGTTGATGCCTCCCTCAGTTCCCTTTTCCTCCATATTTGATATTATTCGTCTAGGTTCTAACCATTATCTAATATTCAGCAAAATTTTGAGCCGTTCATGTCAAGTTAGGTCTGCTAAGCAATGGTACAATGTTTGCTAATTAATCATCTTGTAAAGTTCTTCATTGACGAAGACATGCAAACTCAGAGTCCAATATATATAGTAAATCATGAATTTATAGCATATAATTTGTTGATATTGACCTGATTAGAGTAATCGAGTGATGATGTATTTTTTCTTTAGGTGCTGTGTTTGCTTGGGTGAATTTGAGCTGAAAGAGCAGCTGCTCCAAATACCAACTTGCAAACATGTGTTTCATGGTGACTGCATACGACATTGGCTGAATTCACACTTAACCTGTCCTCTTTGTAGATGTTCTGTCCTCTCTCCTACTACCATAGTGCAAAATGCAGTTCCTGTCAGTCTGACAGCACCGCTTCACCATCATAATACAAATAATACAACATCTAATGCCTCAGATAATCAACAGATTGTATCATCCGAGGTTTAAGAGCGGCAACAAGGTGGTGGTAGCTCATCAGGCACTGCCAACGCTCTTTTAACTGTCTCTATCGAACAATAAATAGTTGTTACACAGGAAGGTGTTCAGCTAATAAAGAACAAAAAGTTATACATCCCCAGCTTACTCTTTAGATTAGTTTTGAAGTGTGTATCGTTCTCCTTTTGCAAGACTCTGAAACTTCATCAGGCAACTTATTAGAGGCATGAACGGAGCACAACATTACAAAGTTATCCTAAGTGCAGGGGATTCAAACAAAGAAATAAAAGAAGAGACACAATAAAGAAATTAAACAGAAATATCGTGTGTCAAAATGATTTTCAACGCAAACAGTGGACCATTCAGTACAACGCTTGCTTGAATGCATGCTCTCGGAGCCATCAATGTAATCTTGAGCAACAGGTCTGCCATTATAGTAAGGACCATTTCTTCTGAAGCCTGCAATTTGTTTCCATTTATAAGATTTGGTGTATGAATATTAATTGACAAAAAAAGAACTGCCACTTCTGCTGATTGGTGGCTTCTGCAGGAGACTTTCTTTGAATTAACGTGAATGCTTGGTATGTGACCAGGTGGATTTCCTGTGGCAATCTTCAATCTTGTGGGTTTTGCCTAGGCACTCCCACCAATTTCATGCTGCCAGAATTTTCATTGTTCACAATGTTCAACAAAACTGAAATCTTCAAATGACAACCAATTTATCATAATAGGTTCAAGAGAAAGTGATAATGCGGACAAATTGTCCAAAAGCCAGTTACAAAACTAGGCATACACTTTCTTTAGGAGAGTCTTCATCATCACGAAGGAAAAAAGGCCTACAAGAGCTGATCCTTGTCAGTAGGCAGAGAAGACATTTCTGGCAATAGACCCCCCCAGAGGGACATTCCCAGGACAGTGTCAACTTTAGTCTTCTAAACAAAGTCTAGTAAACTAAAGTGTAGTTTAGTCAACAAAACTATCTATTCAATATTCATCTAGTTATTTGTAGTTTTGGAGAGCAACAACTTCCAGAGGCAGCAGTTTCCCTCTAAAAATAGTGATTTGGGTCCAAATTTTACTTATTGCAAAGATTAAACCCTCGGTGTTAACCTCGAAATTAAGGATATTTGAATTCAAAAGATAAAAATCATGCTAAGAAATAGTATAGTAATAAGACAATCATTATAGTTTTGATATTAATGATATAAAAAAGAAAAGAAAAGAGAAGCTAAATGATGTTCGTTTCATAGTGGGAAATAAAAAAGTCAGCAAATATATCAACCACGGTTTTGATTTACTTTTTTGAAAGAAGGCAACTTCTTCACAAGTTAATGTAAATTAATTAGGGAATGCCGCGCTTAGTTAGTGCTTAGGCCATGATTTAGATCCTTGACCTCAACATTAGCATCCCTAAAGATCAATGGGGACCAACTTTGTTGGTAAAAAATGTTGCTTATGGGGCCGTCACTGCCATTAGCCCACTACATATAGGCATTGGCATCAAAGGGCCTAATTAAGTTGTACTACAAAACATGTTTGGGACATGTTTTTATTGATTGGAATGATAAAATGGAAAAGAAAAATTCCTATATATTTTCTCACTCAATATAAAATGAAATGAGGTCCTCCTGCTTACACATGACACACATGAAAGCCACCATTCAAAGAAAAGGAAGATAACTCTCTGTGGTCTTTGGAAAGTGCATTATTCAATATTTATATATCCTCATGTCCTCCATAGCATTAGTAGTCCTAATTTACATATATATTGCTAGCTATATATCAACTCAAAGCCTAATTTGATACTAATTATGGTCATCATAATCATCATAATTCAACCTAGCTAGGGATTTATGACTACAAAAGGCACATATATAGTCAAGTGAAAAAAAAAAAAAAAATCAATTGGAGGTAGCACTCCTGCTTTCTAAGTCTTCTTCAGGAGACTCATGATCTTGTGATGCAGAAGAAGGTGATAAAGATGGATTGTAAGAATACCAAGAAGACCAGAGAAGATAATTGAGAAAGTTGATGATGCTAAGACCAGCTAACATCCAATAGAACAAATCCAGCTTATCCTTGTTCAGATCATTATCACCAAGCCACCCACCATACTGAGATGAAGAAGAAGTGATTCTGTTCACCAAAGAAACAAGTATAGAACTCAGATAAAACCCGAACGAGTAAGAGCAGTATGTCATTGCAGTTAAGAAAGACTGCATCCCCTCCAATGACTGTTTGTAGAAAAATTCTACTAGTCCTACTGCCGTGAACATCTCAGACAACCCGAATATCAGAAACTGAGGAGCGATCCAGAAGATGGACATGGTTTGATTCCCACTCAATGCACAGTCCCTCCTCTTCTTCTCCACCAGGGCAGCTGCTACCATTGAGAAAGTTGCAGTAAACAGTCCGACGCCAATTCGTTGGAGAGGGGTGATTCCGGATTCTGTTCCAGTGATCTTTCGGGCGATGGGGACAAAGAAGGTTTCGTAGAGAGGGACGAGGAAAATGAGCATAGTGTAGGGGATGGCCTGCAGGGAAGCTGGTGGGATTTTGAGGGTTTGGTTGATGTGGGTGTTCATGACGGTTCCCTGTTGGACGGAGAAGGTTTGGAGTTGGGCTAAGATGGTATTGAAGATTATGGTGCATGCAAAAATGGGGACGACGGATATCAGGATCTTTACTTGTTCCACTTGAGTGATGGTGCATAGTTTCCATGGAGACTCTTTTCTCCCGTCCTGGATTTTGATGCAGGCTTTGTCAAGAAACCTACAGGCCGAAGTATTAAGATTATTTAGAATCATAAAAATGTTAATTTTTTTTTAAAACATAAAAGTGACACTCGAATCTCACATTTAAACTCACATAAGAATATCCTTACAACGAAAGACATTTTTACTAGAAATGTATATTTCTTTAATTTTGAAAATATTGTTTTTCATGCTAAACCATTAAAGAAAAATGTTAGTTTACCTTCTTTTGAAACTCTCAATGTTAACAATATTATAGTCATTTTTAGTCAGTACATTAAAACTCAAAAACAATATCATTTTAGTTTAATGTAGCTTGTAATATAAGTATGTACCGACCTGAATTTTTCAGTATGAAGAAGGTTGGTGACATTTGATGAGGCAGAGAGGAGGTGGTTTGGCACATTGTTTTGGCTTCCATGAAGCATTTCTATATTGGAAGGACAGATTTGCTTCCTCTTTGTAATTGCAGCAACAAAAACCTGATCAATATTGGTAAAAAGGCTCATTACTGTTTATAGATGGTGACGGTTATTGACTTCTGCCTAAACCACCACTGCCTTTAAATAATCATCAGCATTCAGCAATTAAAGCTAAATTTCATTATCCTCACCTAGCCGTCCAAACCTTTAAAATAATACTTTTTGACTAACTTCAATTGAACCACCCGACAAGATATGACCAAGTGAAAGATTACCCTAAAGAATTTCAAATCAAGTGACAATATATTTACCAAAAAAAGATGAAATTAAGTCACTACTTTAAAATGATCCTCATACACTTCTTTAATTAGTGGTTTAAACCTTGGATTAATACAAATTATTTTTCAAAAAATTGTGTGTTTAAATTTCACATGTCCCTTTTCTCAATCCCTGTTTACTTAATATATATTGATATCTCTTCTTTTCTTTTCTTTTTTTTAAGTAACTACTTTAAAAAAATGAAGGCAGCTAAAAAGAAGATTTCACTTCATCACCATATAAACATGGTGCAAGAAATAATTAAAAAAGAAAAAATTATTTCTCAGTGCAAGTTTAGTCAGTATATATTAAAAATAACTATAATATT